ATAAACCACAAGTTCAGGATTATGCTGTAGACAAAACTGTTGAACTTCCTTGTCCACTTTGTTTACAAAAATAATTTGCACATTTAGAATGGTCCCCTAATATGTGGTTGGGTCCATTCAGGATGTCATTTTTTAAATTAAATGTTTTTTTAAGCCAAGGAACGTTTTCGTTTTTTCTGTATCTTATATCTGGAAGTCTAACCTTGAAGCGTAATTTTACACGGAATTAACATTTACAGATGGCTATCGAAGTGATGACGAGTTCCACGAGTACTTTTTCTTTTTTCCAATGTGAAATAAGTAACTTTTTTTTCAGGGAAACATTGAGGGGTAGACCTTAGTACCGACCATTCAAGATGGACTTAGTTCATTTTTTCATACAATCTTGGAACACAGGATTAAACAATTGCATTTTTTTTACTGTTATATTGGGACATAAACAGTTTATTTTATATATTTTTAAGACATTATAAAGAAAATAAAAAGTTGTGTTAGACTGAACCTTGTGGGTTTCTCAATCTACTTTCTGCAGCGTTTTAAACTTTCAACTCAATTTCTTCCACAAAACATAAAATTTGCATTGACCATAATCTCTCCTCTCTTGGTCGGTATTTTGGGTTGCATAGTTACAAAAATAATTCTCACTGGAACCGATTTTGTACGCGACCACTGGGGATCCTTAAGGCTCCGCCACACAGTCATTAAAAGATGCCAAAATAAGGCAAAACGCCAACCCATTTTGCGCCTTTATTTTAACAGTTGAAGAGCAGGGCGATACATGTGCGTGCTCATGACATAAAAATCTTTAAGGAAGAGTCTTGTATTTTTTAAAAAACGTAGCAGTTTTTAAAATAAAAAATAAAGTGCGTAAAACCCCAGCGGATTTTTAGCGAAAACTATAACTCGGTGTGCTTTTAAAAAATATCGAGGTGATAGAGAATTTTTTTCTACTTTAGGCGCCATTCTTCGTTTTCTGTTAAAATTTTACTTCTTTTAGTTATTGTAAAAAAACTGCAAAGCATTTTGGGCAAATTTTGGTAAGTTAGGCAACCCAAAATATTAGCTGAAGCGGTAAGCTGTAATTTATGGCCCACACAATAGAGCACCTTTTAAATACCTTAAGCTTATTTGACCACCCTTTGAAGTACCTGACAATAGCATTAAGAAGGATATATATATATATCTTTTAGTTATATGCACTGGACCCTGTTATACCTGATACATACCTATAGTTGTGGTTCGGGTTCAAACTAGGTAATTGTAATAACTGCATTTATTGAACAATAAATTAATGATTTTATTTTTAATAGCTCTTTAATATTTTTACTGCAAGCCGCATATGAACATTTAATTAGAATTTATTAACCCATCTGGAGAAGCTCCTAAAAATTTTTTTCAAATTTGTTAGAGCTTCAAATTTTTCTTTGGCCTTTTCTTCATTGTCAATAGCAAATTGTATAGACTTGGACAATTTTTTCATAAAGTTTTATCGGAATGCACAATACTTTTAACGGTATTTGCGCTGTTAATTCCGTCTCTCATTTTGTCCTTTCTTTACTCCATTCCCTACACATTCGCTGACCACAAGTACCTTTTTCAATAGCATTTACGTTACTCTGTGACAGCTTTATTAATAAATTCGATTTTTTTCTTTCATACACTTCGTTTTCGTTTGTTCATCGTTGACGATATTATTTTTACCGGAATCCAGACTTCGGATACGCAATTTTTTAATAGAGGTTTTAGTTTTATTAATCATTTTTCTTTTTTTCAATTTTTGTTCCACAAACGCCTTCGTATACTAACATTGGCCTCCCCAATTTTTTTTTTTTGAATAACGGAATTAGGAACGTACCCTTATTATTATAACTTATTGCCGCAGGAAAGCATCGCCCTTGATACGATCCTCGTGCAGAAAAACTTATTCTTTTTCCTCCCACAAATTTATTAACGACAGAATTGTAGCATTCCGCAGCATTGTTCTCAATATCAAAAAGTAAACTAGACGACAAAGTTGCAACTCTATTTAAAAGTTGTTTGAAAGGTTCGTATAAAACACCATTTGCGAAAGTAGAAAATAATATATCATTTGACTGTCCACTTTTATTATAACAAAAATAACTTGCACATTGTTCGTGATTGCCAAATATATGCTGGAAAAGAAGGAAGAGGCTCATTTTTGCTAAATTTAATAGCACTTATAATAGCTGTTCTAAATTTTAGAATACTATTTTTAAAAACATTATTTAATAGTGATATCTGCTTTCGTTGTTTTAACTATTTCTCTAATTTTGGAACAATAATTACGAAGTATGTGATTCTACATTCAATTTTTTCTATAAAATAATATGCATCATTTGGTTTTGCAGCCCGAACTTTTTTTAATACGCTACTATCCTCGTCGCCTATAATTCTCCTATAAAGTATCTAAAGTAAATCCCTCTGAAACTTCCATGGACATAGATGTTTGCTCCTAGTTTTTAAAACAGGTATGTGTTGGAATTTCTTTTTTCTGTTTCATATAGATTTTACAGAAACTACAAAGTTTGTTTTTGACTCCTACATAAAGTATTTTTTTAGTTCTGGTACCAATTATACGTCCTACCCCAGACAGTGCATTGTAACGGTAGTATATGGGACGCAATCATTATCTACCTCCCTCGCCTTCACAGCTAATCGGTACTCTTCTTTACCTGCGTTTTGGTTTGTTCTTCGAAAAGTGCTTCGATGCTTTTTAGAACTCTAGCCTCGGCTTTACGATATGTCGCCTGGGGTTTTTGAGGGATATCTAGAGCTGAACAAAATTCTGAAATTTGAGAATAACCTACGACCGTTGATCTAGCTCCACAAATAGCTGCATAATTGACTTTGTATATATGATTTTCAGGTTCAGTACAAAGATTACCGAATATTCCGTACATATGAAATTTGTAGTAGAAAACAATTTTTAAACGATAACAATTTTCATGAGTTATTTCAATATTATCTAAAGTACTGATTGATTTCAGTGTTGTTAATAAGTGGCCTATGTCAACAATTCTACGTCCAGTACTAATTTCTCGACGTGTCATGACCTCTAGAGTACGAAAAAAATGGTCTCCCGTTTTCGTGTGTCCGTCTGTCTGTCTGTCTGTCTGTTTGTCTGGTGTCTGTATCCATTTTTTATTAGACAAGTGTTCTCCGAAACTACTGGATCGATTACTGCCATATTTTGTATGTATATTAGAAATATCATGTAGATGGTTAAACGCTAACTAAAATTTGGCAAATCATCTCCACCACCAATGGGATGACGTCATCTCCAAAATTTATAATACAAAGTTTTTTAAATTTGAAAAAATTAGATACTCCTGCACTTGTGGTGTGTAAATCCGTGTAGAATTTTCACCCTCGACATCTAGAATTTTTGGAAAAAATTTTAACTTATCCGGGTTCTCACAAAAAAATAAAATTTGCATAATCAAATTTTATAATTTTTCGAAAAAGCTGGGTTTGTTTTATTGTATTTCAGAGGCGAGAGAAGTTCTGTCGAAATAACCTTCGACCAATTTGCTTCATTCAAAATACATTCCGAGAGGTAACTAGGTATGTACCTACCTAAATTTCTTAGATTTTGGGTTGAAAAATTCCAAGATTACTAAGAAATACTCACAATAACGTACCTTCGTACCTACAATAAAATATTCTTGGAAATTTAATTTTACTTTTCTACCTACTTACAGAATATGACCAATGCGTACGAATTTTTATGGAAACAGGAATTTAAAAATAAGAGTAAGAATTATGGTCGGAATTATATACAGGGTGTTATTGAAAGGTACGTACAACAAAATGGACAGTTCTTCTCAAAGTCTAAGAAGTCGGAAAAACTTATTTTGTGTTATCAAAATTATACGGGGAAAATTAACCCTTATCCAACCTTTTTAGACGCTACTGAAGGATAAATAGGTAAAATTTATTTATTTTAGTAAATCCTAGCAACTGTAACAATAAAACTTTTGTCAAGACTAAATGTTGCTATAGAAACAAAAGATGATCTTTTTATCAGAGGCGTACAACGAATTTGGACATATATTTTAATAATTTTTATCTCTAAAAGGAGAACACTTTTACCTGAACTTTTTTTTAACTTTTAGCACCCATACTTCGAGACCAATTACCGATTTTATTTTGTACGTACCTTTCAATAACAGGCTGTATATGAACAAGCATTTTTTTTGTTGTGTGTATTGCGAGTAAAGATCTCAACAGTCTCTGATAATGATTATATTAATTTATTTTAAAACACACATTTGGCTTTTTTCTTTTCTTATGGCAGTAAATTAGGTTAAACCGCATATCAAAAATTCTCTTTCAAGGGACTTTATGCTAAAAAAAGGTAGGAGGTGCTATTTAAAAAATTATCGATGACGTCATACACCTGTCAAATATCGCTCAAAACTTTTGAAACTAATATTACAAAATGGCAATTTTTGTATACCAGTAGACGTGTTTTTGCGTTTTTACTTCTCGAACGTAAGCTAAGAAATATTGTTTGTTTTCTTTCATAGTAGATAAATATTTTAGTTCCTTACTCTGCTCTACCTGCAAGCCGGGATACACTTCCCCCGCTGACAATAGCAGTAATAAAACTAGTTAAGTATTGTAAACGAAGTGAACGATTTTAACCCTTAGAGATGAGTGGCAGCTGTCATAACGAGGTAGCATGGGTGTTTTACAAGTTGCATATCTTTTAAAATAGAAATTTTCTTGAGGTGTGGTACAGCCTTAATGAAACGTTGTGGGAGAGCAGAATATCATGTGCTTATATGAAAGATCGTATATTTCAACTCTGAAAAATATTGAACAGTTAAAGCGGTCTTGGTTTTTCGCTTATGTTGTAAATAGGCTTGAACTTTAAAAATTAATTTAGTTACCGAAAAATAACATTATTTTTATTAACTTCAATTTAAAAAGAATCAACTGAAAAGTGTTGAGTAAAAGCAAACAGAAAAAAAACATCAAGATAGAAAAATGATTTATTCAGCCACTGCTACATTAAAATTTTTTGAAACTTTTCTTGGAGCTACTTCCTTTTGTGACCTTTAATACGTTGAATCTCACTGTTTTTGACAAAGGCCGACATTCTCCAATAGTCACAACATCGCCAATTTCAACATCCCTGCAACAATACATTATATGTAGCAATCCTGATCCTAATAGGAGGGTGTATGAAACATATATTGAAAAACACCTACACAGAGATAGGGTGTGTTTATATATATATATACAGTATATATGATACAATACTTCCCTAGCTTAGGAAGTAATAGGTCAAACTGTTAACTACAATCATTGCACACCTCGAGATTTGATAATTTTGAAAGTTTATAAAATTTAACAATTTTTCTTATATTGGTAAATAACCTTACCTGAAGCAGGGAGACAAATGGACAGACATGTTGCGATGTCTCTTTTCAAAGCGATTGTACTTTCTGATGTAATGCAAGTAATCACGTCGAATGACAATTGTACGCTGCATTTTCATTTTTTGAACAACTCCGGTAAGAATCCTTCCTCTGATTGAAACGTTTCCAGTAAAGGGGCATTTTTTGTCAATGTAGGATCCTTCGATGGCCTATATCATAAGTTTGAAATAAACATGGGTCAATGGCAACATGAAAATATTGTGCATATTCCACCAAGAATTTCGCAAATTTTCACTACTCTTGATTTTTAACAAAAACATGAATTAGTTAACACGAAAAGTAGTTGCAAAGCTCAAAGTGGAATAGACTACCTGGACCTCAAAGCCAAAACAATTATTAAATACAGCTTTCGTTTTCCAACATTTACAAAAGCAACAAATTTTTCATGCACATATTTTATAAGTTTAGCTCTGAAATCCAAAATATTTTACTTATTTATAACTTAACATACTACATAGATACACCACACCATTCATGCAAAAATTAAATAGAAAATTTTTGAAATGTAATCCAAATTATCCCTCAAAAATTACAACCATTACCTTAATTCATTCTCTATTAATTGAGTATTTTTTAAATAAATTGTTTTAAATGGATGGTACGAAATATAAGAAAACTCTCCACCAAGATTTAAAGATTTAAATGAAATAAAAGCACCGCAAAAAATTTAAGCAAAACCGTCACCAACAAGAACATGCAGTTAATCCCATCATTAGCGATGCAGTCCCTTGGCCCTGAAAAGTTTAAAAAAACAGCAACAAACCTCTCGTGGGGTTTTAAACCCCAACCCAATGTTACGAGATAAGCGCAACGTCTTTTTCTTAAGGCCGCTCTTACGGTTCACATTGATGCAATGCTGCCTTTGGAAGGATCTTTCTGTCTATAGAAAAAAAAACACACATTAGCATGCTTCGACTAGTGCATACCTCTCGTGGGGTTTTAAACCCAAGTCCAACTTCACGATGGTAACGCAGAGACTTCCGTCTCTTACCACCTAAACCTTTTTTACGGTTCAGAAAAACTGTTGGTTGGCGTTGAAATGCTCTTTCATTCTGAAAACAGCAATTATTTGTTCTTTACACACAAATAACGACAGGAAAATGGCATCAACCACGTGCAACATAGGTTACGTGTAGCTTACTATCCACTGGAAATTTTTAACAGATTGATGATACTCAAATTATCCTCTAGCGAACCATGGTCAATATTGTTGTAAAACTTTCTTGGTTTTTTCTATTTGTCTCAAGTTATTTATAATTATTTTGCCCGATAAACTTACCTGATCAGCCATTTTGACGTTTGCACGCTAAAAAGAAGTAAAGAACCGTCAACGTTTAGCGCCCTCTGATCTTAATTCTCGTCTAAATTAACAGCGTCATCTGACGCCACTTCTAGTAAAGCTTAAGCGCGGTAAATTCAAACAACTTATAAATTGTTTTAGGACTTACGACGAAATGTGTTGTTTAAAAGAAAAAATTAACAGTTTGAATTTAACAAAATTAAAAATTAATGACAAACTGGTGATTGGAGGTAAATTTGGACTGAATAAAGAAGTAATTACAAATGCACTTAAATCAAAAAAATTGTGGTGTAGCCTCGAGACTGTAGAAAAAGCACTGTGGTTCTTCAGGATATGAATCTTTATTAAAATTAAACTATTTATTGCCATCTTTGCGTACATTACGTGGAAAAATAGAGCATATCAAATTCTATCCAGGTATATTGCAAGAAATTTTTTATTATTTAATTTATTTATATTTAAAAGTTAAAGATTTTAAAGACTATGAAAACGACTGTTGTTTGTATTTAGATGAGACGGTTTTAACGCCTGGAAAGCAATACTGCACAAACTCTCTACCATACTAGGATATTAAACCCTGGAAAACTTTTCAGCGATAGCCACTCATTCTTTAGTTATCATGATCATGATAGGTGGAATATTGCGGCGGTGGAAACAAGTAATTTCGTATCACTTTACAGGAAATTCCACAATTGGACAATCATTAGGAGATCGCATTAAAAAATTAATAATTTTAACCACAAAAATGAATCTAAATATTGTAAATATTACGACAGATATGGGTATACAGCAAATCAGGCGATGTGGAAATATTTTGGCATTAAATCTAGAAAAATTGTTCATCAAAATTTCATTTCTAATCCAGCTGATGAATCAAAAATAATATATTGCTTGGTTTATCAAAATTTTAAGTAAATGGTTCCGTATCATGTCGTCCCGATGTGACATTTCGGCTAATAGCAAATCTAATTTACGTGAATACAAAAACACTTTGAAATTTTTGAGAGAAATTATTGTTTTATTTAAAAATATCAATATTGGGAAGGGGAGCTATTGGAAACCAGTACAAACAGGTTTAATTTTATCAACAAAAACTATTTTAGATCTTCAGGAATACTTTTTAAAAGTTAGGGGTTATAAATTTTTGTGTAAGTTAAGATTTTCACATGATGCGTTAGAAAACATTTTTAATCAAATAAGACTGAGACAAGATATACCAAATGCACTTCAGTTTAGGTCACTTCTTAAAAATGTATGTGTAATTCAATGCTTCAAAAGTACCTACAGTAGAGGAAGTTATACAGTTTCAAATGATTAAAATTTATTAGGAGTAAGAGATTTACCAGCTTCAAGTAATGCCATTTCTTCTGCAGTCTCGACAGTTTCTCTTCTTAGGGGCTGGAACAGTTATAACCCAGTATTTTCTATTGTGACACAAAATTGTTTGCATAATGTTGCTGGCAAGATTTTGGCAAGAATTAGACGAAATTTAAAGTGTGTTAATTGTCTACAAGCAATTAAGTATTACAAAAAAAATTTCTAGGCCTTATACGAAATTCGTTTGTTTAAGAGAATTAAAATTTAAAATTCCTGAACAAAATGTTGATTTAAAAATTTTGTATTTACACGAAATGAAACTTGATCACCAAATTGCAAGTTTTAAATTACCAGTTTGTCATATTAAATTAAAAATTTTAAAACTAGTTTCTTTGTTTCGGGTTCGAATACATCTTAAAAAACAACAACGCAAAATTTTAGAAGAACAGGGTGCATGTAGAGAAAGTTGAAGAGATACTTTGTTCTTTGATAGTTAGTTCATTTTTTTAGTTTGTAATTTTGTAATATAAATGGAAATATAATAAATCGATTTTATTTTTGTCCAAATCTAGTTTTACTTCCAATAAACAATGGAGTCGTGTAGAATCAAAATCTATTAAATCCACTTTTTGTAAATTTTGAGTTACAACTGTTAATTTGTTAAAAATTTAAGCTTATTGTGTGAGGAAATTAACGCGTTTGATTGTCATAGTGATTTACTACTACTATTAGATGTTAAGAAAAAAAGGGAAAATGTGATGATTTTTGTTATTCTTAGAAGCTTAAAACATGTTTGGAATGGTAAAGGTTTATAGATAATTATGGATCTTGCAATTAGGCGCCGCTCCTCGGTCTGGCAACGAATGAAAACATCATTATTATTTAAATCAGGATCGTATGGGTATTCTTTGAGTAACATGATACTTAAAAACATGCCTTACAAGAAACTTAAGACACGTTCAAAATTGTATATTTTTTAGACAAATACGGATTTTGCAATTAATCACCGCAGCCCCGGCTTACGACGAACAAAAAAAAATCATCAGAATTGAGACAGGGTGGGTGGGCGGGGCTTATATTTTACCGTTTTCTTTAATATACATGGCCATCTTTTCACAACAAGAAACTTAAAACATGGTTAAAATGGTAAATTTTTAAAAGAGAAAAATGGATACAATTTCTTCAATTTTTCGACTTTAACAGTTTTCTGATTTTTGGTTTTCTAGTTTTCAATTTTACAATTTTTAGCATTTTTATTTTTTGCTTTTGTAATTTTTAAGTCTCCTCGATCTTTGATTTGCAATTTTTCGATATTTGAATTTTTCAATTTGTAAATATTTTAATTTTTCCTTATTTCAATTAATCGAGATTTCAGTTTTCAATTTCTCAGTTGTTTAATGTTTCATTTTCCCAGATTCTAATTTTGAATTGAATCCAAAAAGGACAAATTTATTAAAACTGAAATTTTCACGATTTTGCAGTTTTTATATTTAAATTTTTCTTAACTAATTAATTTTTAAATGCTTTCACCGCGTTTATCTATATTATGTTGACTGAGCATTTTTTATAGCACCCATTTTTGAGTTTTAAACATCTTTTTAGTTTTCCGTATTTGCAGTTTCTCGATTTTCCGATTTTTGTTAGATTTTATAATTTTTTAGTTTTTCAAAGCTTCCTTTTATCAACTCTCGATTTTATAGTTGCTCAGATTTTTAATTTTTTCGATTTAGAATTGAAGTAACGAAGTAATGAAAAATCGAAAAATTCAAAAACCCAAAACCTAAAAATTTTAAGAACTGGAAACCTAAAAAACTGCAAATCAAAAAATTGCGAATACGAAAAATTAAAATTAATAAAATTTTAAACTTGAAATTTCAAAAAAAATGCAACACGAGAAATTGAAGAACCGAAAAATTCAAAAATAAAAAAAATGTGGTATCAAGAAATTGCAAATATCAAAGTTAAAGTAACGAGAAACTAAAAAATCGAAACATTAAACTGAAAACTCAAAAAATTACAAATCAAAATATTGGAGAAAGGAAAAGTTAAAAACCGAGGAACGGAAAACTCGGAACACTGAAAAATAGAAAAAAGTAAAAAACCGAACGTTGAAAACTCAAAAATCTAATCTAATCGAAAAATGGATTTATTGAAAAATTCGAAGAATTGAATTACCGACAACCTACATATTAAATGACATCAATTTTGCGTAGTGTTTAATTATGGGAACAGCGAATTTTGGTTAATGACATACCCTCTAAAAACATAAAGGGTGGGTGGGGCTAGTACCTGCTAAGATAAGCTGATTGTAGCAAATGACTTACCCTTTACGAAAATAGTGTCATACCTTCTTAAGAAAATAGAGGTCGGATGGGCGGTGCTAGAATTTACTAAAATAAAACTGAAAACTTAAAAATAGTCACTGGTATGAAGGAGAGGTGTATGTGAGGAACTATTGCGTGCTTATAAAAGACTGTAGAAAAAAATTAAAATTAGCCCCGCCCACCCACCCTTTTTCTCATTAGTGTACGTTGTATTAGTTCCCATTTCCAATCTATAAAAAACATATACTTAACCCCGCCCACCCACCCCGCCTCTATTTCAGTGATTCACTTTATTTAGTCTGAATAAAAGGTGGATCTTATACTGACAGAAATAAATGCGTTAGAATGAAAACAAGGAGGGTGGATGGGGTTAGTACTTGTCAAGATTAGACCGATTTTGATAAATGACATACCCTCTAAAAAATAAAGGGCGGGTGAACGGTGCTAGAATTTGCTGAGATAAAACTGAACACTATTAAGAATAGTCTCTGGAATTACAATAATTTTTCACATTTTTTTATTTTTAAAATATTAGAAAAAAATATTTCCCAGAAATATATCGGTCCAAAATACTAAAAATTGCTCTAAAGAGTTTAGACAGTACTTCCCTCGCTGTCGGAAACGTGACGACGGCATGCCTATTATGTTTTTTTTTTGTCATTACGTCAGTTGATGATTTTACAATCCATCCGCACTTCAGACGGGTAGATAGGATGAATAAATTTCGACCGCTCAGCTTTATTTATAAATAACGACGTCATAGCAAAACGCGTCTGTGCGTGATGTTCGACGTCCCGCATCCTGGTGAATGCGCCAAGGTCATCAAAAAAGGTTATGAGTGCAAAAAATTTATTTACAGCACATTATTAACGGGAGTACATTACATCGGAAGAATGTCACGTAGACATTTGTTTGATTTGAATGAGTTTATCGCCCCAAAACAGATGACAAAAATTATTAATAAGCCTCCATTGAACAATATATTCTGAATGTTATTATTGTAATTCTTACCTTATCATTATTTTATTGTTATAAAGACGAGCGTATTCTCACATTTTCCAGAAAATGGGGTGGCTCGTTCTTAATTTGAACAATAATAAATTGACTGATTCATTTTTTTTTTTGAGTAATCTGTTTAAGCAAATCTAAAAAATATGAATGCAATCATTAAAAGTCTGTTCATATTTTGCACATTTGCGAAGGAATTTATTCGGCAAAATTTTGAGATGCCGTAATCAATTTTTTGGATACATTTTCATTCAAAAGTTATCATGCTTACAATAACTTCAAAATGTCAAGATTTCAAAGTATTCAGTTTTGCAATTCTTGATTTAATCAATAAAATAAATTGACTCTGTCATTAAATTTTTTCACACACCCCGTATAAGCAAATCTAAAAAATATTTATGCAGTGATAAATCACAATTATCGACTCATCATACTTTGCACAATGCACATTTAAGATAGCATTTTTTCGGAAAAATTTTGGGGTGGCGTGATCAATTTTTTAGGGGGGATGAGCAAATATGTATATTTTGATCAAAAATTTACCATGCCTATAATAACTTTAAAACATCTCCACGATTTCCAAGCATTCGGTTTTGTAGTTCCTTATTAAATAAATAAAATATATTCACGCAATCATTAATTTTTTTGAGTCACCTGTATATGCAAATCCAAAAAATATGAATGGAATGATAAATTACAAGTACAGACTTGTCACATTTTCTACATTTTAGATAGGATTTATTCGGCAAACTTTTCAGGTGACGTCATCAATTTTTTGGAGGGGACAAGTAAATATATTTTGAATAAAAACTTATCATGCTTATCATAACTGTAAACCATCTACAAGATTTCAAAGCATTCGGTTTTGCAGATTCCAAATTAAATGTCAAAACGTTGTTTCCTAATTTTGATTTTTTTTTCCAAAAATCTGGACGTTTCGGGTAAAAACTCAATTCGGACTATGTTATTTTATACAATTTAAGACCCCTTTACTATGTACAATTTTGAAGTGACGTTATCGCATTAGTGGTGGGGATGATTAGATAAAATTTGGTTAGCATTTTACCATCTACATAATATTCCTCATATAAGTACAAAATTTCGCAACAATCGGTCCAGTACTTTCATCTGCCTAATAAAAATCAGACAGACGGAAACGAGAGACCTATTTCTTCGTCTTCTAGGGGTCATGAAAGGTCGAGAAAATGTAAAAGTAGAAAGTCGGCCGACGAACTCGATTACAATACTTCCTTTGCTTACGCTCGGGAAGTAAAAAGGAAAATATAAGCCCCGCCCACCCACCCCATCTCAATTGTGATAATTTTTGATATTCTTAAAGATTCAAAATATGTTCAAAATTGTAAATTTTGTAGAGAATTATGAATGTAGATCAGGGCAGATATAGGTATAACATATCATTTTTGAATAACAGGATACTTCAAAACATGTCTTACAAGAAACTTGAGACATGTTCAAAATTGTAATTTTTTTAGACAAATATGGATTTTGCAATTAATCTCCGCCCCCCGGCTTACGACGAATAAAAAAAGAATCATTAGAATTGAGATAGGGTGGGTGGGCGGGGCTTATATTTTGTCTGTTTTCTTTAATATACATGGCCACCTTTTCACAACAAGAAACTTAAAAACATGGTTAAAATGGTACATTTTTACCAGGAAATATGGATTTTGCAATTATGGGGCGGAGCGTAATTGCAAAGTCGATATTTCCTGGTACAAATGTAGTATT